AAAGTAGAACTAACATCTTCTAGAAAAAGGTAGTCCTTTAGGTTTATCAAACGAGAGCTCTTGTCTCCACTATAGAGGAAAAGGAAAACCTAATAGGATTCCAACACCCTTCAAGAATAAGCATTCAAAAAAACCTTGTGCGAAAGTAGAGCTAACATCCTCTAAATAAATGTAGTCCTTTAGGTTTATCAACCGAGAGCTCCTGCCTCCACTAGACATCGGCAGAAGTTCGTCATCTCGCGGAAACCCTAGTTTTGCACAAGGAGTCCTTCAAATGACCCCCAGTTTACTAGCACCTACGAAGAGATCCTGCTCTCACATACCGGGCTCGAAATTGTGGTTTATCAAGAATTCGGAGCACAAATTCACTGGGACATAAGAAGGCTGCAGCTCGGTTCCATACATTCCAATCGCGACGCCACACCTTCAGAAATCCTGCAACAATCGCCAGTCATTCCATAAAAGATAATTCCAAAACGGAAAACTTGCTTGGCTTCGATGTGTAAACGCCAACACATCGCGCAGAATGAGTGGCCGCATGCTAAAGCACGCATTTCCAGCAGACCATCTTCAGCACATACAGCACAGTAAGAGAGGGCCGAGCTTTGTCGTGAGACTGATGCACCGCCTGGAGGGAAGGATTCCACTGGCTCGAAGTGTTGCCGCATTGTTGGTCAAAAGCAGTGACGAAACCTAAGGGGTAACAGAGTATCGTTCAGATCTCGCATAATAACAACAAATGTCTTCCTCACTACAACTGTATTTAGCACAATATTCTATGGCGCTTGTCCATTACGGTTTGCACAGCAACAAGCTCAGGGCACGTCCTGCCGCTGCTGCAAATTTTCGGAAAATACGACCTATCCGCACCCTACCTACTATATGGCCTGCCTGCTACCACTTTCACCGGGATTCCTGAAAAATTTTCCACTTTTCCCTCAGAATTTTGCCGTTAACCGTAGAGGTTTGTGAGTGGGGGTACATTGTCACACGCATGACCATAGCCAGTGCCCTCTCACTTCTGATTATTCTCTCCCTCCGACTGCGCGTTTCGCTGCAGGAGCTTGATATATGCAAGAGCTATACCTTGAGGAAAGCGTGCGTGCACCGCTGTCCATATCGAAACCCTGCAGTGAAACACACTCAGTGGTAGAGAAGAACTAGATGTGAGAGGGCGCAGACAAGTAACGCATTTGGCCATAGTTCGGCTTGTGACTGGCTGTGCAGCAGCGCAGGCAACCGGGTATCACTACCCAGTTGCCCTGACCCTTTGCACTTGTGACCGGAGAAAGTGGCGTGCTACTGCAGCTGCGGAATCATTTACTTCAAACATGGAGGAGACGGTCCTCAATGATGATTGTGTAGTTTGGTTTAAGACAGAATCAGTAACGATAAAGGGCATAACAACGCCACTAAAAGAGTAAGTTAGAAAGAACCAGAGAAGCTCGTTATCCACCATGAGTTACCATATGATGGTATCTTATTAACGTTCATCAAAAATTAATAAGATAACGTGCCACGTAACTCGGTAAAGGCAGTTGGCACGATAAATCCCCCAAGACGAGTAGGATTAATACGCCTGGCAGGACGGAATTCCGCGACCCTGAGCAGGCGCTGCATAATGCCTTTTCCAAGGGAGGTGCCCTTATAAGGGCCCTAGCCACAACATTACGACCCAAACGCCCGCCCGCCCACAAATGGACGACCGTTCCTGACGCTCTAATCGATTCATTTGCTAAGCAAATTATGAAGCGAAGGGATTGGTATGAAGCGGCCGTGATGCTGCATGGG